ACTCAGTGTAGCTTCTAAACTGCCCTGAGTCCCTACTAAACCACCAAGAGAAATGGTCAGAACTATTAGGAATTGACTTCTTTCATGACAAAAACTAACAGGAGATTGAATTGAAAATATGAGTAGCTCTATTAGTTAAAGAAATTGGATTTTTTAAAAATCTAAAGCCTTCACACACAAAAACACATGTACTATCTCCAGATCCAGAGGGTTTCACTGAGAAAACTTTCAGGAAAAATATAGCACCATCTTACAGAAATTATTTCAGAAAATGGCAGAGAAGAAAATAAGTCCCAGTTCATTTTATGTGACCAGCACAACCCCAAAACCAAAACCTGACAAAACATTGTAAGAAAACAGAAGCACAGGTCAGTATTTCATCATGAACATCAATGTAAAAATTCTCAACTGCATATTAATTAATCAAATCAAGCATTATGTGAAAATAATTTACACCATGAATAAGTTGATATTATTCTAGGAAAGAAAGGTTGATTCAACAGTTCTAAAAGAAAGCAAAATCAATATAAGCAAATACTCCCTAAAAATCATTTGGCAAATTCAATACATATTTATGATAACAAAAACAACATGGAAGTATACAGCTATCAAAGCTCATTGAACTAAACACTTAAAATGTACACTATTTCATTCTAACTATACTTCAATTAAAAAAAATATTGGGGAGAAAAAGATTTATGAAGCAAGTTACAGAGATTCAACATATGCATAATTGGAATCTTGAAAGAAGAAAAGGAATGATGGAACAGAACAAATATTGAAGCTATAATCCAAAAATAATTAAAGACTTCCAAGAACATAACATGAACCATGGAATATTTGATCTAACATGTCATACCCTGTATATATTCTGTGGTCTAGTAAAGTTTATGAACTCAAAAAAATAATAGCCAAGAAAAATGTTCATGTTATATATAAGGGGGAAAAAATAAAGATGAGACAACTCTGAAAGGCTGTCTCAGCTCTGAGGCTCCATAGGTATTGCTCTCTCTCCCTCTCCCACATAAATCTCTCCCTCTCCCACATAAATCTCCATCTCAGAGTGTGTATGTTTTCAGGCATTCCCACCCGTGACACACCACAAAGAAAATCTGAATTAATGCTGAAAAGTAGAATTTCTTTATATATTCTACTTTCTGAAAAGTACAAATTTCTAGGAAAATTATAATGTACCAAAAGTCCCTCTAGAACAAATGGAAAATTAAAATAAATTGCCAAAAAGTTATCTTTCTGTACAATAAATACTATGCCAAATTCAGGCGAGTGCTACAATGTCAGTAAAGAGCAGATAGATTCAATCTCATTAAAACTACTGAAGAACATGGAAAGAGAAAATACCTTCCAAATATTTTTGGAAGATTGCACAAAATTGAAGCAAATCAATCTCTTATTAATGTAAAAATTCCAGATGAAATATCAGCAAATAGAGTTCAGCAGAACGTCAAAAAATAATATACCACACTAAGTGGAGTTTATTCCAGAGATGCAAGGATAATTCAATACTAAGGAAATTATTAAGAATCCTATTAATAGATTTATGATGAAAAATCATATGATAGTTTATATGGATGCTAAAATGGATTTAGGACAATCTGGTTTCCATTTTTGTAAGAAATTAAAATATGTAGGTAGTTAACGGTATAAAACTGTACATTATATATTTTATATTAATACTTATTTTTTAGTATATTAAAATACAATTCTCAATTCAAAATCTGGCATAGTATTTCCTAAGAATTAGATTCCTACTGAAATCAGGAACAAGTCAAGTGTGTCTATCAATATTACTATTTAATATTATTCAGGAAGAACTTAATAATCAATTCAATAAAAAAGAAAATGGAGGTATAAAAATTGGAAAATAGGGAATTCCCTGATGTTCCAGTTGTTAGGGCTCCATACTCTCACTGACAAGGGCCTGGGTTCAATCCCTGGTTGGGGAACTAAGAACCCACATTCCACAAGCTGCAGAGCATGACCAAAAAAAAGGTTGGAAAATAGGAAATAAAATTATCAGTATTTGCAGATATGATTTAATTTCTGGAAGCTAAAGAGGAATCAGCTGAAAAACTCTTATAATAAATAAGAAATTTCAGCAAATTTATATATTAACAATCTTTATGTCTAAAAGCAAAAATAGGTACTAGAATAAACCCCTACAAAAAGTAAGAGGCCCAGGAATAAACAGATCTATAAAGAGAAAACCTTTAAATGATCCTCAGAAACACAAATAAAGACTTAACCAACTGGAAGGGACTACCATGTTCTTTGATTAGGAAGAATCAACATTCTAAAATGTTAACATGATTGAATAAAATTTAACATGATTTAAATAAAATTACCAGTAAGAATGTTTAGACAAGCTCAATCTGAAGTTTATATGGAAAACCAAATAATCAAAAATTAACAAGAAAAATCTGAAAAGAAGGGTAATTGAAAGGAGATACCCCTATTGGGAATATTCAATAACCTCAGATATGCATATGACACCACCCTTATGGCAGAAAGTGAAGAAAAACTAAAGAGCCTCTTGATGAAAGTGAAAGAGGAGAGTGAAAAAGTTGGCTTAAAGTTCAACATTCAGAAAACTAAGATCATGGCATCTGGTCCCATCACTGCATGGCAGATAGATGGGGAAACAGTGTCAGACTTTATTTTGGGGGCTCCAAAATCACTGCAGATGGTGATTGCAGCCATGAAATTAAAAGACGCTTACTCCTTGGAAGGAAAGTTATGACCAACCTAGGCAGCATATTAAAAAGCAGAGACATTACTTTGCCAGCAAAGTTCCATCTAGTCAAGGCTATGGTTTTTCCAGTGGTCATGTATGGATGTGAGAGTTGGACTATAAAGAAAGCTGAGCCCCAAAGAATTGATGCTTTTGAACTATGGTGTTGGGGAGGACTCTTGAGAGTCCCTTGGACTGCAAGGAGATCCAACCAGTCCATCCTAAAGGAGATCAGTCCTGGGTGTTCATTGGAAAGACTGATGCTGAAGCTGAAGCTCCAATACTTTGGCCACCTGATGCGAAGAGCTGACTCACTGGAAAAGACCCTGATGCTGGGAAAGATTGAGGGCAGGAGGAGAAGGGGACGACAGAGGATGAGATGGCTGGATGGCGTCATCGACTCGATGGACATGGGTTTGGGTGGACTCCAGGAGTTGGTGATGGACAGGGAGGTCTGGTGTGCTGCAGTTCATGGGGTCACAAATAGTCGGACACGACTGAGTGACTGAACTGAACTGAACCCCTATTGGATTACATTTATGACAAAGCCTTACTAATTAAAATATACTATAAAGCTTCACTAATAAGAAGACAGATGGAACAGAATAGAAAGTTCGGAACCTGACCTAAACATGCATGAAGTCAATGGGGAAAATATGGACTATTTACTGGGCGGTGGTGAGACAACTATGATTTTATATAATAATTTTCTAGAGGATTACAAATGGATAAAACAGTGATAACTGAAAAATCTTTCAAGTGGCGGAAGAAAATCGTGGTTTGAATAACACACACACATATATATACTTTTATATATATTCATATATATATAAATTGTGGAGAATGCTTTTTAAAGTATCACACTAAATTCAAAAGTTACATGGGAATAGATTCATTTAGTGTGTTAAAATTTAAAAAAATAATTTTTCCTTTGCATAAAATACTATGAAGTGAAGTGAATTGAAGTCGTTCAGTCGTGTCCGACTCTTTGCGACCCCATGGACTGTAACCTACCAGGCTCCTCTGTCCATAGCATTTTCCAGGCAAGAGTACTGGAGTGGGTTGCCATTTCTTTCTCCAATAAAATACTATAATTACTGTCAAAAGAAAAAGTATGAAAAAAATTAGAAATCTTGACATAAAATTTCCCTAAAGTATAAATAATCCCTATAAATCACTAAGAAAAATAGATAAAAGACAAAAGAAAAAAATTATTTTTTAAGGCTGATGCTCAATAAGAGAAATGAAACTTTAAAATACAATGGTAAAAATTAAAAAACTACACTGAAAACCCGATTGGTGTCTTGCCAGTGGTATGGAGAAACAAGTACTTTCATATGTTCTTTGTGTAGGTGTAAAATGGTACAATCTTGGATGGAGGGAGAATTAATCAACAGCTTTCAAAATTACAGTTAAACACACCCTTTGGTCCAGCAAATTCACTTCCAGGGATATATCCTAGGGATGCAAAATATATATACAAGCACCATTATTTATTGCAACATTGCTTAGGCTGGCAAAAGACTGAAATCTACCCAAACATCTAGCTAGCTGCTGTCAGCCCACAAAGTCAGGCATCGTACTCCAAAGCTCTGTTCACCCAGAGTAAGAGCTGCCTTTTTTCTTATGCACACATAAGCATGTGTTCTCAGAGGGAGAAATTAAAGACTCTTGTGGATGTAAGCCTAGATTTTTATGTTTTTTGTTGATACTATTGTCGTCTTGCCCACACATAATTTAATTGCACTTTTACCCAACTGTCCTTATAAAATCCTTTCAAAGATTTCTAGTTCAGTTTTAATAGAAACAATGTTTTTCTGCCATTATATTTCATTAGTTTATGCAATAATTAAATCAATTATGTAACTAACCTGTTACAACTGATATACACACTTAGGAATAAGTACATCTGACAATTGGCATCAGCTCAACTGGTGGGAGAGTAGTGCTCTGGCGTGATACTAATTAACCTGCCTGCTGCAAGTATTCACCAAGATAGCAGTTGCCAAATCTGAAAGAGGGATTGGAGCAATTTGTTTAATCCAGCAAGTTGGTTAAGTGATCATTTAAGAGAGCTTTTATTGTGTCCTGACAAAAAGTAAAGAGCAGTCCATTTTGTTCCAATATAAATAAAATCAGAATAATCCTAATAAAAAGTGATTTGCTAGTATCTTCACATTTTTGTGTTATGACTGCTTTCTCTTCATTTATTACTTCCATATGAGCCCATATTCTTTCCAATATGTTGCAGGCCTTGGTCAGAGAGTTACAAAATGATGTCCATTTGATTAGGCGACAAATCAGAGAGCTTAAAAAGATGCAGAAAAACAGGGATGCTTATAAAACCTCAACCCATAAAGCCCAGACCTTGGCAGCTTCTATCCTGAACATTTCACGGTCAGACCTAGAGGAAATACTGGACACAGAAGATGAAGCGGTAAGATCACTTAAATATTTATTAATATAAGAGTTTTTACACTGATTATTAAGTATATACTTTTGTTTTATAGTTCTTAGAATTTCATCTTTAAGATAGTATTCATGAAGGCAAGATTATTAATATACCAATGAAAGATACATCAAGAATATTAACTATAACTCAAAAAACCTTTAGAGAAATTTAACTGTGTAATATAAAAGTAAGCCAGTACATATAACCTTTAGAACTGCTTCCTTGTTATTCAGGTCAGTTATCTTACCCTGTCTCTTCCATATTCTTTAGTTAATCATATATCTTACAGGCTATTATTTTTAATTAAGCCCATTTGAAAGTTAGTTAGCTGGATCACGATTGATTTGAGGGGTTTTCCTCCTATATGTGATTTTTTAAAAGTAGTAAATATATTGGCTTCTCTAGCTAGATTTATAATTATTGTTGACCAAGTTAAAGAAAAAGGTATTTATTGCTTTAAAGTGGGTAAAATACTCCTGCCTGAGTGAATTTATAGGCATATACCTTATAAGTCTGCAGTAGCATTTCTGTACATTCTGAGGAGGGCACTGCATTTTTGATAGTTTATTGCCTCATCGACAGCAGAACCTCATACACAGTCTTCTGTGAAACCTGTGGAAGATACTCAATACTATTCTACTGTTAAGTTTCTGAACTTTAATACATTAAATATTAAATTTTTTATTGTTTAGAAAGGGTAAAGATATGATGGCACTCATAGCTTCCCTATAAATATTTGCTCAGTGAATAAATAAAATGATCAACTTCAATGTTTGCATGAGAACATCCTTCAGCACCCCTACACCATCAGCTTCTCAAAACATTTCTCAAGTAGAGCAGATCTACAACTTGGCAAAGGTTTTTAAACTGCCAATAATTCTTAGAAAGGAGGTCAAAGGAATCCCATAGAGATTATTTTCATCCTATGAGTGAATAGGATAGTGAATGATCAGTTTCCTCTTTTCAGCAGCTATGCCACAATGTCTGTGAATTGTGAACTTTGAAGTCCAAGAGTGTTATGAAATACAGTATCAAATATAAAACACACAGGAAATAACAGTATCTGTGGCAAGGCTGTTAACTATATCTTATTGTAGACATTTAACTGAAACTTGATGGATAAAGAAGAAACCTAACAAAATATTAAGGTCTTCCACTGTTGCCTAAAAGTTTTAAAACAAGCAGATGTAGCAGAATCCTTCATGTGTGTGTGTGTGTGTGTGTGTGTGTTCCAGATACATATTCTGGAAGACAGGGCCTCTGCCTTTATGTGGTCTTAGAACATGCCCTTTCTTGGGCTTACAAGTTAAAAAAAAAACAAGCACTCCCTTTGATTAGAAAAATTAGAAAAAGTTGTCCCCATTGAGTATATGAGTTAGAAAAGGATATCTGTTGTTAGTCCCAAAGTAGCTGGCACATTTCTGTGAAGAAATGACACGCTGGCCTCTGGGAGGATGCAGTATGGAGCCAGGGGTGCAGAGCACCAAAACATGTGTACCATACAACCTTAAATGGAAGTCCTCCTGGCAAAAGCACAGTTCCACGAGGGCTCCTTGCACACACCTGGATATATTTATAGATTTCATTATAGATCTGAGCTTGTTTGGACTGATGCCTGCATCTTTCAGGGGTCTAAAGAGTTGAGTGACTTACCCAAGTAGAGCCCAGACTGCCTGAATTCTATGTATTAAGCTACATCCAACCCTTGTAAATTCATGTAAAATACTGTGACAGTTTATGCAAAGTACCTTGCCTGATACCTGGCATACAGTAAATTTCAACAAATGTTAGTTTCCCAAACCCTTCCCTTTTTGAAAAGTCCATTTTTTTTGCAAACTGAATCATGATTTTAACTGAATAGTCAATTCAGTTGTATATGTGAATACATTATACTTTCAGAATATTTCACCTTGGTAATTGAGGCATTGAAAATATCTAGTGACCTACAGTACTTTAAGTTGGAATGTCCCTTGCCTATCAGTTAGCTATTGGACATTTTAAATAAGTAAGCATTTAAATACACCAGAACCTATGCCTGTCCTATTTTGTCTGTAATTGTAACAATTACTCCTTAGTTATCTACTGACAAGTCTGACTTTTGAGTATAAGGTTTTATATCATCTTATGAGGGTCACTTGTAAATGAATCTTTTCCAAGGCTCCATCTTCTTTTTCACTCTGTTTTAATAACTTTCACTTCCACTTCAATCCATACCCTGATCTCCACCATAAATACAGAAATAAAATATTCCTGAATAATATTATGAAATACAGATATATAGCTTTATATTCCAGATGAATGGAGATATTAAGCATTGATTTGAATAGTCTCCATTTTGAAAGGACAGGCTGCTCTTTGTTGAATCCAATTCTGTCAGTATTTCTCTATGAAACAGTATGATCAAGTTCATATAAATGAAATTAACAACAGTGTTTTTATTTTTTCCTTTAGGAAATTGAAAGGACAAAGACTGATGCCGAAAATGACAAAGAATGGCTGTTGTACATTCGTAAACTTCTTGAAGGACAGGTATTTCACTTTTCCACTTCATTTATTAAAGGTTGCAGATAAAAATTCCAAGCTTATTTTTTTACTAGATGCCTAAAATTTTGGAAACACTTACACATTACTTATTTCTGTTAGGTAAAGAAGTATTCGAATAGGCAGACAGGAAAGTTAACCCTCTATTTGTACTTTTGGACTTAACAAATGAAGCAAATGCCTTGGGAAAGAGCCAACACGGGTCTTAGCAAATGCATTAATTAAATTATTGAGTCAACCTCTATGCTTGCTAGACTGAAAAGGATCCATTCTCTCAGCTCTCTTAGGAAAAGAGATTCTTTATTATGTGTCTTTAAAGTTAGTAGTTGATATGGACACCTGAGGAGTTCACGGGTTTCAGTGACCTTTTACTGTGGCCCTGTTTCCAGTCAATTCATGTTTTCCTCACAGCCAGACAGCTGTTTATTACTGTGTCTTCCCGCATTCTCTACAATATTTTCTACTGAGACCTCGAGCAGCTTGTTAGTGGGAAGTAAATATTGATTTGGCATCCTGTCAATGCAGAAAGAATGAAAAAATTTCCACCAGAGGCCCCTCAAACATTTTCCTATCGACATTTTCTGGGCCGAGTGGAAAGCTGCATAGAGGATGACAAGGCCAAGACGAGTGGAAATCCCTGAGGGGTCTATTGAGACTGCTGCTGTGACCTGTGTGATACTTTTTCTTCTCTTTCAAGTATTTTTTTAATACACATATAGTCTGCTGGGATGCGCCCCTCTTGTAAGTGATCAGGGCAGTTTATTGGCAGGTGAGAGCCCTGCTTTTCTAGTCATAGCCGGCTTTTGTTCTGATGTCACTGACAGTATGTAGTGTATTCTACAACTTTTTCATTATGGTTCTTTTTGCTCAACCTAATTATTGTCGATATCAAAAATGAACTCGATTCAAAACAGCTAAAATGTCTTTCTCAAAATATTTTAAAAAAATTTTTTGTTCTGTGAGTGCAGTATATGGGTTTTTGGAAAAGCAATAATAAGTAATACATGAACTATTCATATTCTTAGTACCTATTTTATGTATTTTTGAAACATTATCTGGAAATACTATGACTATTACTGTCCATAGTAACAGAAGGTGATGGACAATTTTTTGCTTTAAGTTATTTAAGTGCAGACATGCAGGTGCAGGGCAAGCCTTCTTGCTTTTGAGAAGAAAAGCCACTTCTCAGTCATGTTGCATTCCCAGCACCCAGCCCAGTACCTGGCACATCAAAGGAGTTCAGTAATGATTGACACAGGTTATTTTTTTTTAACTTGAATTTTATAAAAATATACTTTTAATGGATTTTTTAAACATTCAACATGTAAGTATGACCTTTTGATACAGAAGTATTATCATCAATTATGAACATAAAAATCATAAATTCATATGTATTAATCTTTATTAAATGTCACTAAAGCTCTATTGACACCAGATCTGCACATGTAGATATACATATGTGCATTCTACATTATCTGGATGTATGCTTATTCTGTCCAGTTAGTGTAAAAAAATCCTATTGAAAATGGCATTAGACTGCTTAATACTGCAGTTTGATATAATGCCTTTTTGTGCCACTGAGCCTGGACTCTGGAATATAATTGCCTGGCAGTATTGATTTAATTGCCCAGGTTTATTTGTGGACTCCTAATTATTGACTGGAGGTAAATTTAATGGAGCAGCCTCTATGAACACTGGGAAACTGCTGCTGTTGCTGTTATGCATAATGAACTGCACCATGTGCCTTTAAAGCATTTGTCAAGCTAATTTTATTCCACTGTGACAGTATGATAACATTTAAAAAGTCAAAGACTTTTATTTTTATTACTGACATAGGTGGTTTTGCTGATGTCTTTGAATTCTGTAAGAAAAAAAAAGTAGGGACTTCGCTGGTTGCACTTGAATGTCACTTTATAATTATGCCCAAGAGAAAAATCTATAAAATAGAAAACATCTTTTTTTAAGTATACTTCTTCTCTCTCAATTCTAGCAATTATATTTGTCCTGAATTTTAGAAACAGTTTTCTTTGTCCACTAGTTTTTGAGAGTCTAAGTTACGCTCACAGGATTATGTGGGTAAAAGTGTAAATATGTTCATTCATTCATTTTGTTTAGTTTATGCCATACAGCTCCATGCACCTGAGGTTATGTGATCTTGAAGCTGTGGAGTAATTGAATGCATTCCCTGAAAAATTCCAAATTAATTCAATATTGATATTTGATTAAAATACTTTGAAGATTAAATTATAAGAAAACTTCCCTTTTATGTCCTCCCTCTATGTTGAGTGCTGTATATAATAGAATGCTGACATCATAGGAGTGAATCTGGCCCTGAGATTTTATCTTTTCTTATTAGGATTAGGCCACAGAATTGTTTTCTGTTAAAAAAAAATTTTTCTGCATTCATTTGACTTAAATTTATATTGATAAAGTAATTACTGCAAAATGAAAAGCTTTTCTACCATGTGACAATATGGACCTGGACACAAAGGTAATACCTGCTGGTACTGTTAGCCAGGAGTAAATGAGAATTAAAAGGTCTAGAGCCTTAACTTACCTATATTTAACACAGAACGCAAATGTATGCCCTCCCATCAAGTGGTCCTGATACAATTGGTAATTTTAAGTATTTGATCATTATCTGCACCTAACCTTTGTCCCCACGGATTTCTAGTAATAAGAGTCATACTGGAAAAAAGTCATTCTTATATCTACTCTCATTTTTTATGACACAGCTGCCTTTTAATTTCTTTGAAGAGTTTTACTGGTATTAATTCCTCTTATGCATTATTACATTTTTTAAAACTTGGCTGATTCATGTCAGTGTATGGCAAAAACCACTACAATATTGTAAAGTAATTAGCCTCCAACTAATAAAAATTAAAAAAAAAACAGAAAAAAAAAGTTAATGGCAGAGACAAAAAAGAAAATTAATGATCATAATAGGGTGGAAAAACCTTCCAAAATTATTAGTTTTTTCTGTATTTTAGGAAGTGGGAGGAAAAAAAACAAACAGGAAAAGTTGGCTGAGACTAAACTATGGAAGCCTTTGAACAGGAAGGGGATGCAATCTGAGTTGTGTGTTAGAAAGCTGCACAAGATCAATGTGTAGGATGGTTTAGAGGGAGAAGAGACTAGGAGCAAGAAGGTAGTCTAGACAAAAGCAGTGGGGGCTTGCATGTGTCCTCACCATAAAAATAGGAAGGACGACATAGATATGACCCATTTTGTAGTCCCTGAGTCACATAGAAGAACTGAGATTAAATGAAGGGGTGAGAAAGCAGAAACCAAAGAGAGGTGAGTTTAATACCTTATATGATGAGAAAGATGATGATACCTTTAAGAGTTTTAGGGACCAAAAGAGGTAGATCAGATTTGGTAGAGAGAAGATGTCAGTGTCTGAAGCTGTAAAAAATTTAGTAGGTAACGTTTCAATAACAGCATTCAGGGACTCACAGTTTTTCATTCAGGGACTTCACAGTTCACCCAAGCCTTCTGTCTGGCATTTCTCAGTGAAATCTAACCCTTTAAGAACACATTTCAAACTCTTACAACTCAGCAACTAGAGAAAAGAAACAGACCTTCAGGCTATTCATAGCCATTTCTATAAAAATATATACAGAGAGCCATTAGGCACATATAAATATGCTCAGCATCATTAGGGAAAGGCAAACCAAAAACCAAAATGAGATACTACTTCATACCCAGGAGGATGGCTGGAATCAAAAAGGAGGACAATAGCAGGCATTGGTGAGGATGTGGAGAAATTAGAACCCTCGTACATTGCTGGTAGGAATGTACAATGATGCCACCCCTGTTGAAAACAGTCTGGCACTTTCTCCAAAAGTTAAAAACTAGAGATTATATGACCCAGCAGTTCCACCCCTTGAGTATATACTCAAGGTAAGTGAAGACATGTTCATATAAAAACTTCTACCTAAATGTTCATAGCGTTCAGTAGTTCATAGTAGCTCAAAAGTAGAAGAATGCAAAGGTCCATCAACTGACGGATGAATAAACAAAACATGTTATATGCATATGCAGAATACTGTTCAGTCATGAAATGAAATGACATGATAATACCTGCTATAGCATGGAAGAACCTTGTACACCTTATGCTAAGTGAAAGAAGCCATACACAAAAGGCAACTTATTGTATGATTGCATTCATATGAAATATTTGGATGAGGCAAATCAAGACAGGTTAGTGGTTGCCAGAGGATGGGGGCAGAGGAACAGTGACTGCTAATGGGTAAAGGGTTTCTTTTGGGGTGATGAAAATGTTCTGGAATTAGATGAAAGTAATGGTTGTACAGCCATGTACAACCAATGAAATTATACACTTCAAAATGGTGAAATTTATGTTATGTGAATTATATCTCCATTTAAAAAGTAAATTCCTTAATATGAGATAGTGAAAAAAGAATAAAAAGAATACCTTTAAAAGTAAACCCAATAAAGTTATTATATCACAAATGCTGTTACCCCCCTCATTAGGAGAAACTGTGTTAAATGCATTTGAATTTGAATTTCTGTCCATTGGCCATAACTGAATAAATGAGATAAATTTTTAATTTCATATTTAATAGGTTTCCTTTCAGTTGGCACAGAAGGAGCTGTTCCCCTATCATATTCTAATTGATATTACTTCCTCCTATATGCAAACAGATAGGAGTCAGTTATTTACATTTGCCCTCTAAGAGACACTGTTTAATTGTTCTGTCCATTCTGATCCTCAAAATTGAAATTATACTAAATTTAGTTTTTTCAGGCCTTAATAATACCTGAAGCCACTTTATGTACTTGTGAGTTTATAAGGCCATGGAAAGAATTAGTGGAGATAAAGTTGAACCCAAGCTATGGAAGGCATTTTAAACACATGTTACTGAGTGTCTACTGCATGAAAGGTAATTCATGCAGTGGTGTCTACCGCATTTCAGGTTTGGAGATATAGCAGCGAACAAGAGCAAAAATCACTGTCCTCATGG